GGTAGTATCACAAGGCCATAACTGTTATTTAATCAGCATTTCTGCTGCAGGCATTTGATCAAAACCACTCTGGCCAAATGCAGCTTTCTCCATTGCATCATCTGTTGCTCTGTTTCTGTTTGGTGGGAACTTATTGGATAACTTTGATTCACAGCTAATATTCTCATTTTAGTCCCACTCCAGTCTAAATTGGGAAATGTGTGAATCATCCAGAAAGAAAGCTCTCTCCATTTCTTGCTTTATTGGGGAGCGGGTGGGGGCGCTTCTCTTACTGCAATCCCTACAATACTTGCTTGAAAGATTGCAGTCAGAGCGGTTTATGAATAACACCTTTAATTGTCTCATGCCACTTTGCATTTACTAATATTTATTTTCAGTAAAGTACTTAATTGTGTTAGTATTTTCATTGAGGAAGCAGCCCAATGACAGATGCTTCTGTTAAGTGCAACATTAAGGCATAAAGTCAGGATGACATAGGTTAGGATCATAAATAAAATTACTTGGCAGAAAATTCAGTTGAAGTCTGTGACTTGCTAAAGTCAAAATTAATTCATTATGGAAAGGGTACTAACTCAGACTAAAGGATGCACTGAAATGAGAGTAATGTTTGTCATGATGGTCAGGTGAGGCTTGGTGGAGGAAAGGAGGCCCTGCCCATCTGATGGAGGTAGCGAAGTGGGTGCAGGGTACCCACTGGCTGTCCACTTCAGCCAAGGGTTCCTCCCAGGGCAGACTCCGTTGCTGTAAGTGGGTTGTGGGGGTGATGAGTTTGGTTGGTGCCCTAGGCAATTGCCTAAGGCCGCATAGTGTACAGGATGTCCCTGCTGTTTCAGAATAGTAAATACTAAGACAATATTAAAACTTATTTCAGTCTCACAGCATTGCAGTTTTGATTCTACAAACTATTGCTAATCTTATTTATTTATTTATTTTAAAAAAAGGAAGAAGTATGACGTTCTTCCAAACAAATTTTTTTGGCCCATTAAATTAAATTAAATTAAACAGCTCCTTTTAGCTACCAAAGCAGGATTAACTCTGTTCTTTTGTGACATACTAATTTGTATGTGTGTGTATAAATTCCCGACAGTATGCCTTAAGGATATAATTCACGGTGTCTTTTGTCACTGCCTCTGTAATGCTAAAAATCTTAGGGTGAAATAAATGTTCAATTCTTTGTTTGCAGTACGTATAATACAAAAGCTGTTTTCCTTGCCATGATAATCACAGCCATCGTGGCCATAATAGTCACCATCTTCTGCTTCCAGACAAAGGTGAAGTACACTGTCCTTAAGACATATAATACTGCTTTCTTAAGTGTGTCACAAATTCCTTGGGGAATTTCTCATCCTTAATTTCCTGGGGAAATTCTCATCTTTAGTTGATGAGAGTGCCAGGCTTCCTGTACATTCAGTGCTGTTTATACTGCCACTACGTAACTTTAGTAATTGACTTTCAAATGTGCTGTTCTGAAAGGCCTGGTTTTTAACTTTACATGTTCATTGTCCATGTATCTATGAAGATAAACCTGAAAGTTTGGGGTAAATGTAACTTTGTGTATGATTCTCAATATAATGGAATTGGCAAGGCCTTGAAGTCTTCTGCAGCATAGGTTGTGGTATACAATAGAGTGGGTAATGTGCTGTCTGCATCTCTTCTCCCCATCTTCTCCTAACATATGTGCTTTTCTCATTTGCAGGTGGATTTTACATCCTGTGCTGGCTTGTTCTGTGTGTTGGGCATCGTTGTCATGGTGACTGGGATTATCACAGCAATTGTCCTATCCTTCAAATATGTAAGCAGCTAATGGAGAAAACTGAGGGGCCTGGATCAATTCCAGTCCCAATGGCTCTTCTGGAAGTGACAATTTAGTCTTTCTTTATGGCTCTATATCCAATGTGCATGTGGACATATTGAACTCTGTGTCACTGAATCTGATGGCAACAGCAAGAACGTGTATTCTTCCCTAACATTATTTAAAAGAACAATGTGTATAACCAATTGTCTGCCCCAATGGTAGTTCAGTTATGACTGGGAGGTTGCGGGTATCCAATACCCTGTTGGCTTTCCTTTTAAAATCATTTAATTTCTCCATCCCTCTGAACATCTTCTGTTACTTGCATTTAGTTTCTGGTCATTGTTCCTCTTTATGCAATCTAGGAAACCAGTTAAAGAAAGGGACAACTCACTGATTTCTCTTTTCTGTTGCAGGTTTACTGGCTCCACATGTTGTATGCAGCTATCGGTGCAATAGTTTTCACCCTGGTTAGTAAAGAGTGAACTATCTTACTGGAACATTTAAGAGCTGTTGCCTGTCCTGTTGCAAGGACTCCAGGCAGGTCACAGGACTGTAGAATAGGTAGAAGGCTTTGTCCATATCTCGTTAGCCATGTGCTGTGTTTCCCTTTGTTCGCCTCTTTCTCCTGCCTTTGCTCCTCTTTTACATCCCTCCCTGTCTTTCAGAACAGTCCAGTTTCCCAAACGTCCGTGGGATTTAATGCTTCCTTCAGTTTAATGTCGTGCCTGGCCTCGTTTCATTAATACCTCCAAAAAATGCACTTTAGATTTCAAATGTAATTGTGTCATGTATGTTATTAATGAATTGGCCAAAATTAACAAAAAGGGCTTTGGTTCCATTCCAAATTGTAAAGATATTGTCCAAAAATTTTTTTATTAAAAAATGTATTTTCTATTTTACAGGAAGACCCATAGTTTCAGGATGTGGATCTGTTTCAGAACCTTTGGCCCAGTATTTGAGTCTTTTTCTCAAGCCCTTTGTCCAGTCAACTGGCTTTTACTTAAGAGATACAGTGGATTTTCTAAACCACATTAACAATATACAATTACATGCAGAGGAGGGTTTTTCTTTTGTCACTCTAGATGTGGTTTTACACCCATATTCCGCAAGACTATGGGAGATGCTAGAAAAAAAGAGATCAGCACCCCAATGTCCTTTCGGCGTCACATTGCAGACTTATGTTTAAAGATTCCCCCCCCCCCCCAATTCCAAGGAGAATTTTTCTGGCAAATCTCAGACATGGTTATGGGGTGCAGATCTGCACCAGATTGGGCAATCTGTTTATGGATAGATTGGAAAATAAGTATATCCTTCAGGACAGCAATATCCATTGAAAATATATTATTTTTTATAAAAGATTTTGGATGATATCTTTATGTTTTGGAATGGAACCAAAGAATCTCCTACTAATTTTTGCTGATTCATTAATGACATACATAGCTTATTTTATTAACTTTCATAAACACATTAATTTAAAAGGTTTGTTGTTTTGAATTATTCTGAGATAATTTTGACATAAAAAGTACTTTATGTTTTTTCTGGTTCACTTAGTTTCATTATTTGCTGGATGGGAACTTGGAACATTTTATAATTTCTTTAGTAACAAAGGAATGATGCTTTTTAGGAGGAGAAAACCCAGAAGTACATGGGGAATTGGCCGGGAAACAATTGCCTAAAACCTGTTGAATGGAAATATATGTAATGGAAGACAGGGTGGAACATTGGGAGCCAAAGGAAGAAAAATCTTGGTTGGACTTGGGGTCACTCTGTATATGACAAAGTTCCTAGGTAGACTTGTGACTACCATTATAAATGTTCAAGGGAGCAGAGATGGGCCCTGGATTTCTATAGTTTGTACATACAATGGATAGTGGGTATTGTTTCAAACAAAGTGTGTTTCCTTCTCACATTGCAGTTTTGTAACACATGAACTAGCCCTCCAAGCCTAGATCCTGGTTTGTGTAGCTAAGAAGAGCAGGAATAAATGCTTTATTATTGGATAATTTCTTGAAGCACACAACTAATTGCTTTCTCATGCTTTTTTTTTTTTGTAGTTTCTTGCATATGATACGCAGTTGGTGTTGGGGAACAGAAAACACACGATCAGCCCTGAGGAATATGTCTACGGAGCCCTCAAGATATACACAGATATAATCTACATCTTTACTTTCCTTTTGCAGATTATAGGCAGCAGAGATTAGGATGCCAAAACTGTCCCCAAAGATTCAGAGGAACATTTTTCTTTCTGAAGTTAATATTCTGCTACTGTGCTCTTACCTCCAGTACATGTATAGAAGCTACTAGTGGATTCATATAGCGGATAGCTGTAAGTGGGAGGCTGCAGATTCTGTACAGTGCGGACGTTGACCATAATCCATAAAATGCCTGCATTCTTTGTTTCCATACGCCAGACCTAGGCTGCATTTAGTGCCCTGTATACATGAATGCAGCGTGTACATGTTACCACCTTGGTATGATGTATCATAGTCCCTTCAACATATCTTGTATTTTTGTCAGCATACTTAGCCAATATGTAGGCAGTTCTTTCAACTAGAAGCCCCCTAACTCCTGGGATCCACATCATGTGTGCAAATAAAATTTATATTTTTGAATAAAGTGATCTTCCAGGTTTGTGTGATAGAGTGACCAGGAACTGCTTTAGTTTGTTCTAGTATGACACTAGGAGTACGCTCCACTGACTGCATGTGAGCAGGATTCTGAGTAGGCCTTCTAGGATTATTTATTTAATTTATAGCCCACTCTCCCGAAGGCCAGCTCAGAGTGGGTAACATCAGTTTGTAAATAGATAATTAAGATTTCCAAATATCAAATCATTAAATCATTAATAAAATATATTAAAATACATACAGTACAATATAATCAGTTGTTCTAAAATCAAGATGGTATAGACCCAATATGAAGGGGAAATATTCAGCTACTGGAGAAGGGACACAGGGAAGGGGGAAGGGGGAGGCCAATCAGTTAGGAGGAGGAGGAGGAGGAGATTGGAGTCTCAGAGCGGCTTACAAACCCCTTTTCCCTCCCCCTCCCCACAACAGACACCCTGTGAGGTGGGTGGGGCTGAGAGAACTCTTGACACAAACTGCTCTTTTTCAAGGACAGCTGTGCCAGAGCTTGTGACTGACCCAAGGTCACATCAGCAGGTGCAAGTGGAGGAGTGGGGAATCAAACCCGGTTCTCCCAGATTAGAGTCCGCACACTTAACCACTACACCAAACTGGCTCACTGATTGAGACCCTTGTACTGCCCTCAACCATAGGCCTGGCGGAACAACTCTGTTTTGCATGCCCTGCGGAACTGCACTAAATCCCACAGGGCCCTGATCTCTCCTGGAAAAGCCTTGGCCCTGGTTGATGACAAATGGATGTCTTTGGGGCTGGGGACCACCAATAGGTTTTGGTCACTTGAGTGTAGTGCTCTGTGGGGGATGTACCAAGACAGGCGGTCCTGAAGGTATGTTGGTGCTTTAAAGGGCAATACCTGACCCATGAATTTGATCCGGTCTGCAATCTGGAGCCAAAGCAGCTGACAGAGCACTGATTGAATGTGCTCTCTAACTGGAGTTCCTGTGAGAATGCTCACAGCTGCATTTTGAACCAGTTGCATTTTCCAGATCAACTTCAAGGGCAGCCCTACATAGAGCAAGTTACAGTAACCCACTCTAGAGGTGACTGTTGCATGGATCACAATGGCTAAGTCAGAGGGTGGCAGGTAGGGGGCTAACAGTTTAACCGGATGGAGATGTAAAATGCCAGCTTAACATTGGTGATCTGGACCTCCATTGAAAGGGAGGCATCCGGGATCATTCCCAAACTCTTGCTCTCTAAAGCTGCGAATTTAACTTTGGGGTAAATACCACTGAAATAATTGTTGACTTCTGTGTAAAACAGTTTGATTCGGGGCGTATGGAGAGGTTATTTTATTATTTTTATTTAAAACATTTCTGTGCTGCCTTTCTACACAAATAGGGTCCCCGAGGAGGCGAACACGGAAACGTGAAAACATTGGAACATTAAAGCAGCATTTAAAATTGTATATAAAATAATTCAGTAAAAACAAATACACAACACCGAAACAGGGGAGGGAGTCTGGGCCAATAACTGTTACTGGGCATATGCTAAGCAAATCAAAGTCTCCATCTGCAGGTGGAAGACAAGGACAGAGGGAGACAGATGATCTCCCTGGGGAGGAAGTTCCAAAGTATTGGTGCCCTGACCAAGAAGGTCCTCAGGTGCTGGGGGCACCCAAAGCAGGACCTCCAAAGATAACTTAAGAACATAAGAGAAGCCAATGTTGGATCAGGCCAAAGGCCCATCCAGTCCAACACTCTGTGTCACACAGTGGCCAAAAATACCAGGTGCCCTCAGGAGGTCCAGCAGTGGGGCCAGGACACTAGAAGCCCTCCCACTGTTGCCCCCCCCAGCACCAAGAACATAAGAGAAGCCAATGTTGGATCAGGCCAAAGGCCCATCCAGTCCAGCACTCTGTCACACAGTGACCCAAAACACCAGGTGCCATCAGGAGGTCCAGCAGTGGGGCCAGGACACAAGAAGCCCTCCCACTGTTGACCCCCCCCCAAGCACCAAGAATACAGAGCATCCCTTGCCCCAGACCGAGAGTTCCTATCTATACCTTGTGGCTAATAGCTACCGATGGACCTCTGCTCCATATGTTTATCCAGTTCCCTCTTGAAGCCGTCCATGCTTGTAGCCGCCACCACCTCCTGGGGCAGTGAATTCCATGTGTGAATCACTCTTTGGGTGAATAAGTACTTCCTTTTATCTGTTCTAACCCGACCGCTCAGCAATTTCATGGAGTGCCCACGAGTTCTTGTATTGTGAGAAAGGGAGAAAAGTACATTACATTATAGTCTCCCATTCTCATTACATTATAGTCTCCCGTTCTCACCTAGACTCAAGGCAGATTACACAGAGTAGGTGAAATGCAGTCAACAAGATGGGACATCCAATAAGTGTCCGCTATGGCCTCAACAGAGTTTGTGTTTGGAACCCTAAAATCCCCCAGACCATTCTAGAATGCAAGAGCCTCGGTAGGTGGACCATTTCAACTGTCTCCCTTGTGAGGTATCAGCACTACCGGCCCCATATCTACCAGCTCCCATCCTTCTCTTGAGTGGGTAGTGGTCAGACTATGATTCCGGCTGCATCACCGACACCCAAACAAGAACTCCCATCAAAGTCTCAGTTCAAAAGATTCAGTCCAAGGTGCGACTTCTTTCATCTGTTTTCCCTTCCCCTCCCCTCCCCACAACAGACACCCTGTGAGGTAGGTGGGGCTGAGAGAGCTCTTGACAGAAACTGCTCTTTTTCAAGAACAGCTCTTATCAGAACTACGGCTTGCCCAAGGTCATCCAGCAGGTGCAAGTGGAGGAGTGGAAAATCAAACCCAGTCCTCCCAGATTAGAGTCCGTGCACTTAACCACTACACCAAATTGGCTCTTTGCCTTGTTTGAGGCTTGGACAGACCAGTTTGAAGCTTCCTGCATCTGGCTCGGAAGCGTTCGGGCACTCTCGGCAGAGAACCCCCACCCCTGCAGTTTTCTGTGGAAAAGCAGGTGTGGGTGGGATGTTCCAGCTGTCGAGGGACCAATATCGAGCATCCGACACTGACAGACAACTCTGATTTCCAATCAGAGATGTCCATCCTTCTGCTTTGGAATGGGAGGGTGTGTGTATATATTCCCCTGGAGTTGCGTGACTGTCCTTTGTTTTGTGTCAGGTTTTCTGCAAGGCTAGTTCTCATTGCCTCATGGCGGGCCTGGGGTGGGGGGGGGGAATTTACTGGGGTCACTGGGTGGGTGGTTGGGTGGGTGGAGAAACCTGCTGGCTCTCCTGGCAACAACACAAACTGCCAGATGAAAAGTGTTGTCGTATGTCTTTTTCTCACCTGCTTTCCCTTGCCTGAGTTCCAGGGCCACAATGCCTTTTCCCCTCCCTTCTGTTTCTTTGAGGCAAGGGGTGGGAGACGTGGGTCGAATTGTTTTGCTTTCACAAGGCCTTTTTGTTTTGACTTAGGGGTTGCCTGTTTCCTTGGCAAGTCAAACAGCAGAGTTCCCCCACCCCTTCTGTAGGTTCTGCAAGCAGCTCTTCTTGCTGCCCGTTGGCTGTGAAGCTTGCCTTTTCTGCTCATCCCAAAAGGACACCCACCCACCCGTTTTATGCCTGGGTTGCTTCAGTCTCTGACTTGGGAGTTTTCTCCTTGTGCTGGCAAGTTGACTACCAACTTTCAGACCACTTTCGGGGGTGGGGGATAGGTAACTGCCCTTAGCATTGGCTGTGGGTTTTCCCTTTCTGCACCCCCCCTCCCTCCCTTTTTGCCTGGGTTGCTTAAGTCTGTGACCTGGGAGTTCCCTCTCTCCCCTGGCCAGTTGGCAACCCATTTTCAAACCACTTTCGAGGGGGGGGGTTGCTGAGTCCCCTTGGCGCTAGCTGTGGGTTTGCCTTTCTGCATCCTCCACCCCTTTCTGCTTGGGTTGGTTCTGTCTCTGACCTGGGAGTTCTCTCCTTGCCCTGGCCAGTTAGCACTCAGCTTTCAATCCACTTTCGGGGGGGGGGGGGCGGGGTACTCCAGCTCACACATTTTTGTCTTAGCTCAGGAAGGACAGCTCCAGAGCAAACTAATTTATGCAGTAGCCAAATCGCTTGCTCACAACTTTAATGCCAGTAGCTCACATAGTAGAATTTTTGCTCACAAGACTCCACAGCTTAGAGGGAACATTGGTTGGGTCTGTCTCTGACCCGGGAGTTCTCTCCTTGCCCGGCTTCCCATCCACTTTCATGGGGGGTGGGGGGTGGCTGCTGCCTTTCTGCACCCCCACCCCAACCTGTTTCTCCTTGGGTTGCCTTCAGTCTCCGACTTGGGATGTTCTCCCTGCCCTGGCCAGTTGGCAACCCACTTTCAATACACTCTTTGGGGGGTTGCCAAGTCCCTTTGGCACTGGTTGTGGGGTTTCCCTTTCTGCTTCTCCCGGAAGCAACCCCCCCTCTCCTTCCAGGATTGCTAGTCTCTGAAGCGGGGTCCCCCTGGCTCAGCCCAGCACTTTTGGGCCTCCTGTCTTGGGGGTTCCCCTCTCTCCTCTGCCCGCTGGCTGTGGGGCTTGCCTTTCTGCTCCACCCCAAAGCAACCCCCCCTTTCCGCTTGGGTCGCCTGTCTCTCTGAAGTGGGGGTTCCCTCTCTGCTCTATCTGCTGGCTGTGGGGTCCAGTGTTCCCTCTAAGCTGAGTTAGTGTGAGCTAGCTCACAGTTTTTTAGCCTCCGGCTCACACATTTTTGTCTTAGCTCAGGAAGGAGGGCTCCAGAGCAAACTCATTGATGCAGCAGCCAAATCGCTCACTCACAACTTTAATGCCAGGAGCTCACAAAGTAGAATTTTTGCTCACAGGACTCCACAGTGCGAGTCCCACGAGACGGGCATCGCCCTGTGCTGTGGAGAAGCCGGGCATCCCAGTATGGTGAGTTTTGGACTGAGATGCTCATGTCTGTCTCTGCTTGCCCCCCACAGAGGCAGGGGATCCCTCTTGTCGGTCTCTCTGAGACGTCTTGGTAAGCTTGCGTTTATTGACAGATCTTGAAAGAGGCTGTCCTGATACGAGATGGAACAACCCTGCTCATTTGCACTTGTCTATTCGTTGTACTATGCAAATCTGAACGTTTCCCACTGGTTAGAACTGAGGATAAAGGGTTGGAAGGAGAAGGAAGGGGAACTGTTGGATTGTGGGGTCCAGTGTTCCCTCTAAGCTGAGTTAGTGTGAGCTAGCTCACAGTTTTTTAGCCTCCGGCTCACACATTTTTGTCTTAGCTCAGGAAGGAGGGCTCCAGAGCAAACTCATTGATGCAGCAGCCAAATCGCTCACTCACAACTTTAATGCCAGGAGCTCACAAAGTAGAATTTTTGCTCACAGGACTCCACAGCTTAGAGGGAGCATTGGTGGGGTCTTGCCCTTACTGCCCCTGCCAACAGAAAGAAACCCGTCTTTTTGGATGGGCCGAGTCTCTGACTTGGGAGTCCCCCCTCCTCTGACGGCTGGCTGTGGGGACTTGCCTGTACTGCCCCTGCCCAAAGGAATACACCGTCCTTCCTGGCTGAGTTGACTCTCTGACTTGGGGTCCCCCCCCTCTCCCAATGAGGCTCCCAAATTACCCACCGTTGCAGTGTTTCCCCACAACTCGAACAACTACGTTTCCACCCCTACTACATGGGTCTGACATGGGGGAACATGAGGGGGGCCCGAAGGGGTCGTGCTCATGGACACGGATGGATGGAAAGGCTGGCTTAACTAGGTAGTGTGGAGCCACCAGGGGGTGGGGGTGGAAAGAAGCTCCCCACCACGGATAGACAAATGAAGCTTCTCTTCCCTGAACAAAGCCTGATGGACTCTCAGAGCTTTCTATTAGAGACCCGGCTCTGACACTGAAAACCAAAAGCAAGATTCCTGGCAAAAAATCTTATATTTAAATACAGGCTGGTTTCCAAAGAAGTGCGGTGAAAGCTGACCACCACAGACAGGTAAGAGAGTCTCAAAGATGTAGAGAGGAGTAAAGCAATAAACCTTGCACTGGAGTAATCATTAATTAACTTGAATAGTCTCTGCCACTCAATTCAGTTCATCATGAAAAGAAGAAAAGAGAAACCGATCACAGCCCCCTCTTTTTAAAAAAGGTTTGCTCAATGTCCTTTTTATAAATGAAGCATATAAAGATGTGCAAAATATATAAAAATAAGTAAGGGAGGGTGGGAAAGAGCAGAGGGGGTGGAGCAAGCCTCTCTTACCGGCACTGAGGCCACTGTTGACTCTCTTCCTTGAGAGAATCAAATCTTCTCAGGGTCCAAAAAGCCGGCTCTGATAAAAACCTTCTGAGGGCCTCTTATCAGAGGGGTAAGATAAATCCTCTCTCATACTGCGATTATACACCCCTAGGGAGTCAAGGTCTTGGAGCCACACACAGAAGACTCCGAGTCCTAATGAGAGACCGTGTTGCCCTAGAAGTCCTCATTTTGTTCTTTCTACACACACAACTTGATTTTTAATTATCTGCATATGGGACTACACTTGGCTATTAGAATATATATTGGACTTCCATTTCTGCACAACACACGCTCCCAAGAAATATATTGATTCTTCCACTAGCAGAAACCTAAACCTACCTCTCGTATCTGCACACAAATATATAGTGTTTGATGAGCTGACTACTGACCCTTGTAGGCTGGCACCACAGAGGGTGCACTGTCACATTACGAAGGCATGAAGCAAGGGGCCACTACGGCTTCAGCTCTGTTTCAGAAGACCTCTGAGGCAACTTTGGGTCTCCACTTGATCAAAGTCCCTGATCCCAAATGGTAGCCCCACTCCTTAGGGCTAAAGAGGACAGCTTAGTGTGCAGAATGCAATATTGACTTATTTCCCATGAGTGCAAATCAAAAGCAAGGAGTTGGATAAAGGAAGCAAATACAACCTCAATAGGGAGAGGGGGGTTTTATCCTCTCTCCCCCCCATTTGAAGGGCATGTCCCAACTGTCGTTTCCCTCTGTTATATCCTTGGAAGAATGCACCAATACCTACATGTGGAAATGACAGAAATTTCTAATAGCTCTTACCTTAAGTACAGGTCTCATCACCATCACTTGTTGCCAGGAAATATTTCTGCAGGTACTAAAGGGGATATCCAAAGACAGGACAGGGAACACCCCAAATTCCCCCGGACCGCCTGAACTTACCTGGCTGGGAGGAAGCAGCTGGATGCACTGGTATGCACTGTCTACCCAAGTGCAGCTCTCTAAGGACCCAACTGCCTTTGTGTGAGGTCGCACCAGCTCCTATTCTCCTCCCACATAGATAAGTACAGCAAAAACTCCATCTCACCATCACAATTTTGTTACATTTGATTTTCTGTGCATTCCAGCAGCAAGCAATGCACACATGCAGAAGCAGAGAGAGCCTACAATTGCTGTACCATGTCCTGATGGACAATGGGTGTTTTTGTGCATCTGCAGGCCCTGTGAGCTGAATATGGATGACAAGTATACCTGCTACCGAGCTCTCCAAAATGTTGTTCCTGCAGCTGGAAACTGACACAGCCTTATGAGTACGGGAATTTTTAAAATAAAAATGCTTTTTGTTGCCAGGCAGACTACTGTATTTCTTTTCTAGGACCCATCAAATGCAGAGGATTTGGAGGTTGAAAGGGATTTATTGATGACAGCTGCTTATCTCCATACAAAGGCAACATGAGAAACCTGCTGTATGTATCTGGTGCAGTGCTGTGCTGTGTCCCACCCGGGCCTGAAGAATTCATCAGAGCATCTTTTAATTCCAGTAACTGCACAGTAGGAATTACTTAACCATAAGTACTAGAAGCTTTGGATATTGCAACTGTAGCCAAAGCTTAAGTGTTTGTTTCAGTCACTTCCTCTGGTCTCCGTGTGGCCAACTTGTACCGCTCTCTCGCATACTCTCCCTCATTGGATGCCTTAATCTTTTGGTGGATTTTCAACTGTTTCAAACGATTCTTCTCCACTTGTCGCTTAGTGAGGAAGAAAAGGATGATGCCAGAAGGGAAGCCGATGGCCCTTGGGAAGACAAAATTAATACTTAAGCAAAAAGCTGCATGGCGTCTGGACTATTTTTATTTATGTGATTTACAGGCCGCCTTTCTCACTGGGATGCAAGGCGGATTACACAGAGTGAGTCGATACAATCAACAAGAGGGGACATTCAAGAAACAATGAAATAGGATTTGGCTTGTAGATCCAACCAGGTCTAAAGGACAGGACTGAAGCAAAGTACAAGCGTTAACGTGAAACATTAAATGATGCAAAATTACACAATAGGATTCAACTCACAGCAAACTATACACAGCAGTACAGATCACAATCCCCAATAATTTATCCAAGTAACTTTGTGAAGCCTTTTGTACAGTGCTACTTTACTGCCTACGTACAAAAGCCCTCTTGAATAATTAAAAGGTACAAAGAGCTTACAACTCCCTGTCCGGCTTTTGTTTGGAAGTACAAACAGAAAGACTTCCCGGCAAAGGAGAAAATCAACAAGAAAAGTTGTGGAAACAGACACTAAACAGTATACAAGCTAAATAAAGAATATAATCTGGTAGCAATGCAACAACCATGCAATACTGTAATATTTGGAAATCATAAGAAGGTGAAAAATCATTGGAAGGCATGAAGTTCCTGGGTGTACACTTCGTTTCGAGTCACATCTTCTTCAGCAGAAATAACATAAGTATGGGCATCTGAAGTCTATTGTGTCTCAAAAATGTAATCTTTTTGTAAGTCGTCATTTTCAGTTTTTAATCTTCACTACTAAACAGATAGGCAACCAGTCACAAACCTGAGTGATAGGCTCTCTAGTTATACCAGCTTCGGAACACTAGAGAGTTATGTTATTTCTGCTGAAGAAGATGTGACTCAAAACGAAGTGTGCACCCAGGATCTTCATACCTTCCAATGATTTTTCACCTTCTTATGATTTCTAAATATTGCAGTATTGTATAGTTGTTGTATTGTTACCAGATTATATTCTTTATTCAACTTGTACATTGGCTAGCTTCTGTTTCCGCTGCTTTTCTTGTTGATTTTCGGCTTTTGTTTGGGACCCTTTACGCAAGGGCCGGTGGGTTTCAAGCCACAGCCTCCTGTCACTCACTATCCATGCTTATTATCCTACTATCGTTTGCTGCTGTCCGGCATCGCACATCTAAGCACTCAACCAGCATCCTGTCACAATGTTTTACCCGGTACTGTAGACTGCAAAAGTGACAGCAAGCTGAAGTACTGGGGTAGGAACTCACAACACAAGCTAACATCTTGATGCTCACCAGGCAATGCCAACTGCCTTCATGGGGTTCCTGGCTTTCTCCCGTGGGATATATTCCTCTCCTTCATAGACTTGCTCACCAGGCTGTGGCTTTGTCTGTAATTCTCTAAAAGCCCAGTGGCTACGATGGAAGCATCTGGTGGGAGTCTTGAAGGGCACAACTAAGCCTGCTTTTCGGCTCCCAGCAGCAGAGAGGAAGCCTGCAAAAAAGTCACACTGTGTACATAAAATTGCTCTTTTATAACAATTGAAATCAATATATACCATTCTCAATGTGGCCAAATCTGTGGATACTTAACTCTGGGGCCATGGTCAGATAAGACAGATCTTTCTATAACCTTGGGGAAAGCCTCAGGTTTGCAGAAAAATCTGAAATTAAACAAAAAAAACGTGTGCGCCATTTCTAGGCAACCATGCAGTATTGCCAGTAATCCAGCCTTGATTTCTGTCAGTAAAAAGCAGGAAAAGAGGGAGGAGGGCTTTTCAGGGCTGTTTTGGCCTTTGAGGGAGGATTCATTGGACCAGGGTGGACAGCAAACACAGGGCAACTTGATACCCCTTTACTTGCATGACTTGCCCAGGACTGGCTGCTTGCTCCTGTTCCAACAGTAGCCACCCTACAAAAACCAGTTTGATGTAGTGGTTAGAATTTCAGACTAGGATTGGGAGACCCATGCTTGAACCCTCACACTGCTGTGGAAGCTCACTGGGTAACCTTTGGCCAGTTACACACACACCACCACCATCTACCTCAGAAGCCTGTTGCAAGGATAAAGTAAGGATAGGAGAATAAGTAAGCGGTGTTGGATCCAAGTGGTGAAGAAAGGCATGGTATAAATGAAATATTAAATGTAATTGAAGATGGGAAGGGGGGTAGATAAAGGTTGGTAGTTGGAAGAGAGGAGGGCAAGAGGAAATAGTGTGGGGAGGAGATATAGAGGAATCTGAGGGATCCCCTGTAAGTCCTTGAGAATCAAAGAGAAATAGGTTCTCTTACAGAAATGCTATGGCTGGAAACAGTGGGGCCAAAAGGGAGAGAAGGCAGAGAAAAAAGTACTTTTCTCCCTTTCTTACAATACAAGAACTGGTGGGCACTCAATGAGATCAACAAACAGTAGGCTTAGAACAGATAAAAGGAAGTATTCCTTCACGCAGAGTAATTATCATGTGGAATTCACTGCCGCAGGAAAAGGTGGTGGCTACAAGCATAGAAATCTTCAAGAGGGGATTGGATAAACGTATGGAGCAAAGGTCTGTGAGTGGCTATTAGCCACAACATAGAGGTGGAACACTGTGTCTGGGACAGTGATGCTCTGTATTCTTGGTTCTTGGGGGGGGGGCACGCAACAGTGGGAGGGCTTCTGGAGTTCTGACCCCACTGGTGGACTTCCTGATGGCACCTGGCTTTTGGCTGCTGTGTGACACAGAGTGTTGGACTGAATGAGCCATTGGTCTGATCCAACGTGGCTTCTCTTAAGTTCTTATATCCTTGCAGGTTCCCAACCTTGCAATTAGGCCCAGCTCAGCTCAGCACCAGAAAGAAGATGCCAGGGAAAGCCGAAGACTGGAGGCAGATAAAGATATGCTGGCTGGTTGGTGTGAAAGACAGGAGGAAGCAGGGAAAAGGGAGAGGCTGATGGGCTTTCAAGAAAAAAGAAGCAGCAGCAATAGGGGAGGGGGAAATGAGAAGCCCCCTGTAAATCCTGGCAGGTTCCCTGTTTGTGATCCACTAATTCCTGGCTCCAAATTTAAACTGCTTATGAGAATCAGAATACCAATGATAAGTAAGAACTGAGAAGAAGGAAACTTCACTCTCATTGAGCAGTGTATTCCCAAAAAGTGGACTAACAATACTATCCAAGGCATATTTGCTCTGAGTTAGGCCTTAAAAGAGTTCAGTGAGGTTTATTCCCAAATCAGCATGTCTCGGATTGCACTGTGTTATCAGGAACTAATTAATATTGTGATTGTGATCATATTGCAACTAGATGTCTTCTAATACACCTGGAAACTGCAGCTGCCTGTATTATGAAGTCTTGACAGGAGGGCAAGTAGAGAGATCAGATGCAAATGAAAACAAGTACCTATGCAATAATTTCTGCAGATGCAGCTTTCCCCCCACCTTACCACTGATATACGGTTGCTCCCCCTATTCTGTACAACTGTTTAAGTCATAGGGGGCTCAGGGGTTGCAGGCTGCCTTGGTCACCTTGGCCAGTGGGGAGAAGCAACATCAGATTAGCATATATTCTGTTTTTAGGGATCCCAGCAACAGAGTAGTATGGTGGCTGGAATGTCAGATGACAATCTGGTTTCAAATTCCCATTCTGCCAAAAAGCTCATCGGGTAACCTAGCCTAGTCACTCACGCTCAATGTAATCTACCTCACATGGTGAGCCCACCTATAAAACCCTTCGGGGGCGGGGGGGGCCTAACGAAATGCGATTGATAGGAAGAAGCCCCTCCTCCTACCATGGTCTCCAGTACCAATAACAACCCGCTCTCTTTTGTAGCAGGCCTGCACCCCACCATCCTCTTCTACCCAGTATAAACTGCTAGATCTCTATTTTTGAATTCAGAACAAGATCCATGGTTGTTTGGACTCTTGCATTTCAGTATTCTGCATTTTTGGGTAATGTGCCTTGAAATGAACACAATTTAATTTGAAATGTGGGAAGATACTGGCTTATTTGGCCACCTGATCTTGCTAGAGGACTCAACAGGACTGCTTTGTGTACTTTCTCAAAATGGGTTGGGAAAAACACAGCTAGAGACAGAAGTTGTGTCTCTATGAGTCCGATCAGACGGCTCTTTAGATCCGTGCAAGGCACTATTGCCTCATGGATCTAAAGGTAATGTCCAGACACAAACATCTGGGAAATGTCCCTCTTTCGTGGGCATCCCGTTTTGCCGCGCTTCGGAGCCGTACTTAAAAGATACCACTTTAAATCTGGGGTTTTCGGTTACCTGCGGGACAACTTCCACCACCAGCATTCCACCAGCGTAACGTTCCACCAGTGCGCAACCCTCCCATCGGGCTAGTCTGACGTCAGACCAATCCGAGCAGGCACCATTTAAAAAAATCTCTAGACATGCACGGATCAACAAGGACTCACTGTGATGCCTATGCGCATGGGCAAAAAGGTTTTTTTTTTAAAAAAAAAACACCGTGCATGCCTCCTTCAGTGGACGCTGTCTAGACAATCCACAATGGAGGCAGCGCACGGTAAGGCAGTTCACCAGGGGGATGTCTGGTCATGCTACAATGGATTAAAAAGATCGGGATAAAATTCAAACTGGCATAATGATGGGATTAGCTGCCCGTCTGAACGCACCCTAACACTATGGACAGCCAGTTTCCGTGCTCTTTTGAATCCAATTACTGCCTCGCAAGTTCAACACAGCTTTCTCCTAAGTAACTGTGCACAGGATTACAATCTCCAGATCAATAGCCACCCACTTGCATGTAAAGAAGAGATTGGATTTATACCCTGCCCTTCACTTGGAGTCTCAGAATGGCTTACGATCTCCTTTCCCTTCCCCTCCCCACAACAGACACCCTGTGAGGTAGGTGGGGCTCAGAGAGCTCTTGACAGAAACGGCTCTTTTTCAAGAACAGCTCTTGTCAGAACTACGGCTTTCCCAAGGTCCTCCAGCAGGTGCAAGTGGAGGAGTGGGGGAATCAAACCCGGTTCTCCCAGATTAGAGTCCTCGCATTTAACCACGACACCAAAGCCACCTTCCCCAAGAAAATGCTGATTATCCGATAAAGCAATGTTCCCTCTAAGCTGTGGAATCTTGTGAGTAAAAATTCTACTCTGTGAGCTACTGGCATGAAAATTGTGAGCGAGCGATTTGGCTACTGCATAAATTAGTTGGGTCTGGAGCCATCCTTCCTGAGCTAAGACAAAAATCTGTGAGCTGGAGGCTGATAAACAGTGAGCTAGCTCACACTAACTCAGCTTAGAGGGAACACTGCTCCCCAGCCATCAGGGGCAGATTCAGGCTCACGGGTGGGTGCCCTCAGCACTGACCCATGTTGGCCTGTCTGACCAGATCTACAGTGCAGGTTGCAGCAATACAAAAGTGTATTCCTAGGATGACACCACAGACTGGGTGCAAACGGAGCCTTTCGCCCTTTCCCCATCTTTGCAGTGCCCCCTTCGGCCCCGGGGCCCCAAGCACGGGCTTCGTCCGCTTCAGGGTGGCTCATCATCTGCCCCCGCCCAGCCTACCCGGAACTCGAAGACACGCAGCCGCCATCTCGGACAGAACCCTCCGCCCCGGCTGCAGCGCGAGAGCGGGCAGGAGGACACAAGCCGGACTACATCTCCCGAGACCTCTCTTCGAGGTCCTGGAACCGTCAGGGATCGCCCCGAGGCAGGAAACGACGACGAGGACTACAGTTCCCTGCACACCTAGCGGCAGCGCCTAAATTGCGAGACGCTCGAACGAGAGGGAGGCTGTTTGGACGGCTTCGAGTGGCCAGCCTTATCGAAACCCGGTCCGGTGATTGGTCGTGGCGCCTCTGGCTCCGCCCCTCATCGGAGAAGCGGAACGACGGCGAGCGGCTGAGCGGGGTCGGTGCGGGCGGCGCATGTGGCGCGGGTGAGTGAGGACAGCCATGGCGGAGCCTGGAGGTGGCGCCGCGCCGGAGGGGTCCGCGGCTCTGCTGCTCCTGGAGGCAGGTGGAGATGGGGATGCGGAGGAGCTCGTGGAAGTGGTGGACCTGGAGGCGCCTGGACCCGGTGAGAGTGCGGGGAAGACCCGGGGGATCGGGGACCCGCGGTCGCGGCAGGCAGAGGGGCTTTCATG